CGCGTGGCCGGCGGCCGAGCACCCTCTGCCGGGGAGCGGGCGGCGACAGCCGTAGGAAGGAGAAACTGGAACAGAACCCAGGTTTTGCGTCGTTCCCGGTTTATTTTTGAGCCTGTTGCAGTCAAACCCCACGAAACTGCGAGGGCTAAAAGGGGTTTTTATCGGAGGAGATGATGATGCTGTCCCATGACTGGCGAAGCTTGTGCTTTATGAGAAATACCGCAAACGGCGAGAGAAGCAATTAAAGAGTAGCAAACGCTCCTGCAAGTGCCCGCTTGCCAACAGACATCTTCTTCCATTAATTAAGTGAAAGAAGATCATTTTAATACAAATGGCTGCTGGGGAGCAAAGTAAGTTCCCACAGTCAATTCCATGCCAATACAATACATACTCATCCATAGCGTGGGACTGAAAATAAAAAATCCCAGGAAAAGTAAAACAGCCTGCATACAGAATTATTAGGGAAAATAGTGGGCTGCTCTCCCCTGGCAGCACTAATCCTAAGTGTGAAGCTGCTCACAAATGGCAGCATTAACAGGGTAACTAACACAATTATTATTGACGATGTAGCATTTTCTGCCCAAGTAACAGATTTGCCCTTCACTAATTTCAGCTTTCCCACTTCTTCCTGGGGAAATACAATATTAGGTCCTATTTATAGAAGTTCATGGTTTTAAATTAATTTTTTCCTTTACTACAGCTGTTTTCAGTGGTTGATTACTGTTTGTTGGACTAGGCAATTCTTTGCCAGCTGGCTGCGGCTTTTATTAGGTCTTTTAAGAAGACTTGATTTAGAGCTCACAGTTACATTACAAGGACAGCAGCTCTGTAATGCAGACCCTCAAGAAAAGAGATAATTAGGACTCATGAAAAAAATTGCGTCCGATTCTTTGAACAAAAACGCCCTTGTTTAAGGAATGTGGTGCTGTAGGCTAATATTTAACAGCAGTCTCTCTTCTCTTGCTCAGAGCTGGTGCATGCAATTAGACCCTGCCCTCCATCAGATGTACTGGATATTATTTTCTGGGAGCATCTCTCAAAATGGAGGAATGCCACCCTGTAGCAAGTACAGAATGTATCCTGGGGATTGTATTTCTGCAAGTAGGGCAGGAGGTACTGGTGGAAGGACGTGGTAAAGCAGAAAAAGAGCCGAAGAGGTGCTGAGAAGGCTCTTGTACAGGGGAGGGGGATGAGAGAAACAAACATCGTGGAGAACAGGAAGAACGATGTGCTGGGAAATGATTAATCCACCCCAAAGGCCTTTGCTAAGAAGTGGTGGGACAAGCTCAATGATTTTTGGCAGCCATGAGCTCCTTCTGCTCCGCTCTCAACTCCCGTCTTGCAGCCAGATGTGTTTAAGTACAATTTCATCCCACTTCTGCGCCAGACACCACATCCCCCCACCAGTGTCCTTCACTCCATTCCTGGCAGCTCTCTGACAATACACCCCCTCCTATATGTGTATTTTACGGCTGTCCCGTGTCCCTCCACCCCCAGTAAGTGTTTCTCAAGTGAGCGGGAGCACACAATCCGTGCTGGGGGAGGGGAGTGGGAGTCAAGTTTAAGAACTGCTGTTCTGTATCCTGTTGTTTTCCTACCGGGATTGTTCCAGTTTCCTGCACTGTCTTATCTGGAGCCGAAAAGCCAAACCTCTCATATTTACTTGCTTTGTGTGTGCCTCAGGTTTCTAATCTGCGAAATAGGCGTTATAAGGCTTAAGAAAAACATAGCTAGGAATATTACAGGGTGGAGGGACAGGAACAAAGTGGTTAAAGGGCTTTCAATGCCTATACAATTAGTTTCTTTATTTAGTTATCCTGCTTGCACAAGCCTGTGTATGTCACAGAGAACATCAGAGAACCATCAGCATACCATAAATGCTGCACAGAGTCCACTGAAATGTAAAGAGAGTAGGATTCAGATGTTTACATTCTCAGGTGGTTCCAGGTACCTGTGTTTGACAGACCTTACAAGAGAATCATTTTCAGAAAGTGCTGAGTATGGTTTTATCCCCCCAAGGGCTCGAACTAGACACGCGAAAGTCTCAGAATAAGCATTTCCATGCTTTTAGTCAGCCTTGAGTTTTAAGAGCTCCACTGAAATGCTGTAGAGTTCTTTGAAATTACTTGGCCACATTTTCTTGAATACAGAGGTAAAATAAGCATATACAGTGCTGATGTCTTGAAAGCTTACTATGTAGATCAGGCACATGAGAAAGCAAAATCTTGTAGATTTTTTTTTTTTTAAACTTTTTTCCTCTAGTGAGCATGAATTCACTTAACTATAGTTATATTAGTGCACTAAATTCCCTATGGGTTAAAAAAATTAAAAGAAAACATTTACCATACAGCTTTGGAATGTCCTGTTTTTCTGCACAAAGGTGTGGGTCCTGCATACACAGTGTCCATTATCAGATGGGAGCCTCTCCTGGAAAGATAATTAAAACACTGTATCACTCACAGCCATGCAGATGCTGAACCAGACACAAGGTTTCAAAACAAAACTCAACCCCCAAACTCCAACCCCAGAACCCTCCCTCATAGGGATCCTGGTTTTGCTGGAAACAGATAAAAGTTGTGGCAATGATCAAGATGGATTTTTATTAATTGAAGAGATGAGAAGCCTGTCAGTTCAGCCTTTGTGGGTAAATACATATTTCATTTTTTTTCCCCATCAGTTGTAACTGTAAATTCAGACTCATTCCACTTGACAGTTTCTTTGGAGGTACTCTCAACTGATGTAAATATGAGAGCAGGAGTGGGCTGAAGAAGGATCCTTAGTTGATTACCAGAGCCTTTATTTGGAACTAAATATCAAGAGAAAAAAGGCGCTTTTTTTAATTTTATTTTTTTTTTCAAAGAGATCAGGAAAAGGAAGACATGTGCTTGGAGATAAGGAAAGATAAAAGCACTCCATTTAAAGTCACCAGTGATAGAAATCAAGATGTTCATCTGCCAAGTCAGTAATTTCATGGCCTTATGACCATGCAGAGCTTCCGTTTCTGTTACCTTTTCCCACACTAACTGTAAGCACCAAATTATTGGCATGAAAGTTCCTTTTGGCTTGTCCAAGCAGCTCAGCCCTTTAGGGAGGAATTACACAGGCTGAACATAAAACTCTCTGACTTCAGAAGGGAAAAACGGTTCTCCCATAAGTTTACAATCAGCTTTCTGAGGCACAGCGGAGCCCTGGAATAGGCTGTGAATTCCCTGTCCTTGGAAGGTTTGAAGACAGGTTAGACAAACACCTCTCAGGAGAAGTTTGGGCAGAGCTCATTTTTCTGTGAGGAATCAGGACAGCTGAAATGGCCATTTGAGGTGACTTCCAACCCTGTTTTCTATGATTCATTAGGAGTGAGATCACAGTGACAGTAGATCCTATGAAATGCCTAGATTAACAGGTCAAGAGCTCAAAGTGCATTTGCTGCTTTAAAACAGGGGGTTTGGGTCTGGTTTTTGTTTAAAGCAAGCAGTGGATTTCAGTAAAAAACTCTTTGAAAATCCTAGCTTTGCATGTTTCACAAGCTAGCATATGCAAACAGCAAAGCATTCTAGGCTAAAATTATCCTTACTATCATTAGAAAGCCATAAGGAACATATGGATTAATACTAGCATATCAGAGCTGTACTGCCGTGCAGCAGTTTCACCCCCAAACAAGAACGGTTCTGATGCCTACTGTTTATTCACCATTGGGAAGCACAACTGACACACTGCGATAGATCTGACCTGTGCTTTTCTCTTTGAAAAGGACATTTAGTTCCCTGACCTGTGTCCTGAAGTTAGAGAGGGCTCTTCTTGTATGCTTCACTTTTGTTTGTTTCCTTTCCTCTTTGGGTTGTGCTTTGCCTAACTACCAAACACTCAGTCATTGTTCTACTGGTGTTTGCATTATAGTCATTGCCCCTGCCTCGCTCAGGCAGTGGACAGGCTCCCTTGTGCTGGCCAGTGTGGAAGCCCACACCACTTCCATGGCTCCTCCCCACCCCACCCCTTCCTGCTTGGAACAACTAAACTTTTGCCTGAAGATTTTGCATGCTTACTTGTTTAGGCTTTGCATCCAGCAAACCACGTTTAGCTTTAGCATCAGCGGCTCGAAGCATTCACTTAAAGTTAAGCAGGTGGGTAAGCACCCAGCCAGCTGCAGCCTCAGAGCTCAGCCGCCTGCAACTGCCACCCCTCAGTGTCCGCAAGTTTGGAATTGACAGAGCAGGGCACCTGTAAACACTCTTCCAGAGGGCTCCTCCTCAGTGCAGGAGCTTGGCCAAGAGGCATTTCATGATCACTGGCTTTTGTTTGGGTTTGGTTGGTCTCAACTCTGCTCTGGAGGTCCCTGCTGCTGGATGGTGAGGATGGGGGTACAGGAAGGGGGAAGGCAGCGATCCCCACCCACAGCCAGCCAGGTTCCTTTGGGTGCCCGTAGGTCTCAGGCTGGCTCTGCTGGCAGCGAGGGGGTTTGGGTTAGGGCAGGCGGCCTCGGGGAACCTCAGATGACCCTGTCCTGGCGCCAGGTGGGAGAGGGTAAGGGCCTTCCACCACACCGTTTCCACATCCCCACCTCATGTCAGAGACGCTGGCCAAGCCCTGCGGCAGCCACCACGCTTCACCCTGCACATGGGGCTGGCAGCCACCCCTGGGCAGCCTGGCCAGTCACACTCACTGCTCTTCCTCCAGGCAGGGCTCCTCAGCCTCACCAGGGTCCCTCATCGCCCTGCTGCATCGCACGGAATCGTAAGCATGGCCGGTGGAGGTAGGGCACTAAAGGCACCAGGCATAGCCTCTGCCTCGGATGTTGGTGCACAACAGGGCTTCTGCAGTACGGCAGTTTCCTGGCTGTGCACTGTCAGGCTTTCCCTCAGTTTAACTAGCATACTCATGAAATAAATCCCTGCAGACAAATGCCGCATTCACAGATTACAGAGCAGCCCTACATCTGTCGGCTGGGATGGGCTTCTCTTGTCTTCTGCAGCTTGCACGGAGAATAGGAGCGTGTGGAGCAGGAGACCTGGAGGCTCAAGCTCACGCACCCAGCGAGGACGCGTGCTCGCGGTGTGCTGGGCTGTCCACACGTGTGTGCTCACCTTCAAAGCCAACAAGGGCTTGTTCTCACTGGGAAGCTGTGTCACATTTAGGCCAGAGCTGCTCAAAGAACCAGTTTAGACAAGATTCCTGCATCCAGTGTTTTCAGTCTGGCATCTTTTACCACCACTAAATGCAAAGCTTTTAATTAATAATAGACTAAGATGCCTGGAGCAAAGACTGCCATTCTGAACTGTAAATGCATGCGGTATCAGTCACATAGCATCATAAGGCTTCTTGGCTCTCTTGCAATATGCATGTTGACGGTAAATTATGTGACCAATTGTTCTCTAACTTGTTACACAGAAATGATGATGACTTTCTAGACTACTACATGGAACATTTCAGAACAGATAGGAGAATTTCAGATTTAGTCTCTAGTAAATATAAGTTACATATGCAGATAATTCTTTAGTTAGGAAACTACCTCTTCTTTTTACTATTTGAAAAGTCAGATAATGTCAGAATCTGAACTAGCTTCACTTATTTCTGGTACTTCCGTTTCTGCAGTTCACTCCATTTGGAGAAGTAAAGACTGCTAACCACAGCCTGTGTTCAAAGGGCCAGTGCTAAACGGAACATCTTGCAGAGTCTGTTTTTTAAAATTCTGTTTTCAATATTTATATTGTGTTTCAACTTTGGTACACTGTAGAGGCTAATCCTGCAAATATTTACACAAGTCAAGCTTTCTATATATATATAGGTCATTCAAGCTCAATGGGAGCTTACCTTAATGAAGGCACATGTTCTGCAGGAGCATTTATTTTCGACTGAGCATTGAAAAATTTAGTTTCATCTGCTAGCCAGATATATTAAAAAAAAATACACACACACACACAGATATAGACACACAGACATATGATGATTATTTTAGGTTCTGAGAGAGAAGGAAAGAATACTCAAACAGTCACTTACCGATCTCCACATGAGAGAAGGCTCAGTGAGACAGAAAACAGCAGCATGGTGAGTATTCTTTAATAGCTTAAATGATACCATAGACAATTGTTTCTAATAGAATCAATTATAGCATTAGAAGTTGTAGATTTTTAAAAAAAACCAAGTTTTAGATATGTGGATGCAAGGTCTGTTTTTTAGTTTCTGAAAAGCATCCCACAAACAACTTCTTCATATATCCAGTTTCCCTCTGAGGCAAGTAGTGCTGCCATTTTGACAGATGAAAGAAGTATGAGCCCTGTTGGCCATGGGGAAGTGGGAGACTGAGAAGCTGATTCCCAACACTTTCCCTTGTTATTTTCCATATGCGAGTACAGAATTGTCCATGGGTACAAGCGTGCTGAGATCACAGGACTCCAACTTGTAAACAGAGCACTACACTTCAAGTTACTCTTCCGATAGCAGAGCTGTGATCGCTGCTTGGGTGGTTCAGTGAGAGTGTTAATCTCAGTTATGCTGTGGATTTAGAACACTCACGTGAACAGCTGCTGTGGCTCAGCTGAAGTATGATAAATTCTTAAGCTGAGCCACTTGATCAGGACTCAGAGCTCATAGGTATGCATAAATTATATCTAGAATAAATTCATCATTCTGGAACCATGCCCACAAACTACCTTCCAGGTCTTCAAAGTGGACAAATTCATTTATTTTAAAGAATGAACAAAATGTAGAACAGTGATTCCTCTCATGATTCTTAAAAAAAAAAAAAAAAAAAATTATTGCTGTATTGAGATGGGGCTAGAAACAGTCCCCAGGACTGCTATTTTGTGCACATCCTCTTTCACTTAAGTTATCTCCAACACGTTTTTACAGAATGAGAGCATCGGTGACGGAAGGTGCAGTGATGCCATTTCACTTCGCATGGATCTCTCCAATCTTGTGACCTGGGCACACACTCATGGGACCATATGCAGTTCAATCCCAGCCTTGGAAATTGTGCAGAACATGGGTCATCCTAGCAAGGACAATGCTGTTCTGTGGATATGTGGACTTGGACATGCGTATCACTGGCAGTGTGGAAAATTATACATCAGGAGCACAGAAGAGAGTGAAGCTGGAGAAAAGAGAAAGAGGCTAGTATCTTTTGAGGCTTCATCAAGGGAAGCTAGTTTAGATGAAAAGAGGCTCAGGACAACCCCGTCTTTTGAGAGGGCTAAAGGAGATGCTGTTAGCACAGGGTCTTGTAGCAGATCTCCAGGGGTCACTCAGCAGAAAGACAACACAGTCTACATAATACATAATGAACCATCACCCAGAGAAAATCGAAAAAATAGCAAATCCATAAAATCAGGCTTTGCAGCAGAGCAGCATTTGTCAATATCTGGTGATGAAGTCAAAACTGACAGACATAAGGTGAAGCTAGAAAGCAATGAAGATCTACAGATCATCTCTGATGAAGAACAGTGTATATCAAATGAAGACGACCAAGGAGACAGAATCAACCAGAATATTCTGTCAGAATCACCAAATAAAGGTGTAACTGCTGAGGTAGATTTGCAAATGTATCACGGTCAAAAGATGGCATTTAACAGCCTGAGGGCTGCCCAAACATCTGGCTTTGCCCCCGCAGGAAAGCCACCCCTAACTCTTGCCTGCATTCTGAAATCCCCCATCAGCAATCAAGAGAGCCTAGACAGCAGCTTCTTGAGGTTAGGTCCTCTTAATCCTGCAGGGTCCACAACTGAAACTTCTAGAGCAAGAAACTCCTCTGGGTCAGCAATACCAAAAGAATATTTAAAATCTGTTCCTGTCTCCAGCATTGAGGCAAAGGCCCAACGTGAGTCACCCGCCTCTGTGACATTCTTTGAGTTTGAAGCCACTGTAGATGTCCAGCAGCAACTCCAGCTGAGCCCTCCTGAGCATGGCACACGAGAAATAGGCTTAAGTGGGAACATTACTGAAAACTCTATTGAGGAGAGTGAACCATCAGGATCTGGGCATGCACCTCATCTTTCAGCCTCACTGAGTCCAGAGAGCAAGAATGCAGACCATCCACCCGCATCTTCAAGCAAAAGTAAGAGAGTCTGCAGTTTTATTCTGGAGGGGTATGTGGGTGCATTCTATTAATCACTTTCCCAAAATATTAAAGGGGGGTGAGTTCATATAGCTGCCAAAATCGGTACTGTAGCATCTAAGTAAGTGCCTTTGATTTGGGGCACTCTTGTTTCTACTAAAAGGGACTAAAAAGGTTCTTACCTTAGCAATCAGCACTTCAGTAGATAATGCTGTTCACTGAGGTACCCAACCGTGTACTTGGCTGTGGCCCAACTACCTTAACTACCCAGTTTGAATACTTTGGTCTTTCATTTTACTTAGTATCACCACGTAGTATGTTGGCTGTACTTAAGAGAGAGTCCCTGTGAGAAACTGGAGCCAGAGATGGGAACTCAGGTCTCAAGAGAAGAAAACAAGAGGAAGTAACTTTTAAAGCAGTGAAACAGAGAAATTGTGGCTGAAACTCTGGCCGCACCAAAGTCAATGGCAAAAATCCCAGAGATTGCAATGGGAGCAAAGTTTCAATCCTGCATATTAAATTACATGAGCTAAACAAATCGCTTTAGTACTTTTAAGAATTTTAACATTTTCGTACACAATGTCCTTAGAATCCTACTGGAGTAGGAAGAGTTATAATTGCTCAAACATTAACTTGCAAGATACACTGCTTACTAGGGAACTTTCAATACCAAGATTAAGCCACACACAAAGCATGGCAATTTTAAATTATTCCATATCACAAGAATATGCTGTTTGACAAAGATTTTAGAAGCCTAGCTTGCGGCTGTCTTACTCCTGCTGTAAAACAGACACCGTCTGCACAAGAACAACAGCTAACATACAGTGTGTGGATATCATCAAAATTATGCTAGTCTTCTACAAGTAGTGGGGAAGCCATCAATGAAATAGATTTAATTAATTTAATAAATGATCATATTTTAGGATAGATGTGTGTAATACACTGGAGCCTTAATGCTAGGTACATATATATTATTTAATCCAATGATTAAACACCTCAAATAAAATGTAAATGGCCAGGTTTTCAAAGATGTTATAGTAAAGCCACAAAATTTGCATCTATAATGATTTGAGTGCCTGCAGGTGCTTTTTTACATTAATTCCAAGTAAGCTGCTGTCTAGTCAGTTCTATGTTTTTGTCTGCTAGTATCTAGGTGTAAACATCGAGGCAAATTTTAAAAATTTAATTCTTTTCCATCCAGTGGCTTAATGCCTTGGCTCCATCTAACTGAGAAGCAGCCCCCAACAGCATGTGTTTCACTTCTGCACGCCTAGTATGAGGATCCCATTGCATGTTCCCCAAAACCTGTCCCAGTCCAGCCCCATGTCCTTGTCCATGGCAGGCCAGGCGTCCAGCCTGGCAGAGCTGCTGTGGCACTGCCCTGCAGCCACGCAGGATGCTTCCCGACTGACCGCATCTCCAGAACTCCTCCTGAGCTGCAGGGCAGGGCTGTAACTAGCCTGCTTCCCATCCCACCCCCAATACCTGTCCCACTGCACCAGATGCTTAATCCTGTTTCTCTGCTGAAATAATGACCCATCTCAACTAGCTGTAGCATTAAAGAGCAGCAGCCTACTGCAGGTTTCTGCAGTGCAAGGCACTGGACAGTGTCCTTCGAAAGAAAAGAGGTTACTGAAACAATATTCTGGGGTTTGTCTGTAACTCAAGGGTGTATGCTTAAAGCACCACTAGTATTCCCAAATAGACTTGGGGTTACAGACATTTGTATTCCTTACGTAGCCACAACTGGTCAAACTGGCACAGTTGGTTTTTGTGAACATTATTTGACTATTTTTGTAACTGACAACATATATCATCAGAAGGGACTGGGAATTCAACTGGGAATGTCTGTGTGGTAGCCGTTTCTGCCAAGATAAATGGCTTATGGCTCAAGCGAGGCCTCTGCGTGTATTGATTTACAAGCCATTCAGCTCTTCACATAGAGCAGTCAGTAACAAAGCAAGCAAAAAACCCAAAACAGCGGCACAGGAATCAGTAGACTCCACCTCAGTGCAGCCATAGCATTTTAAGATGATAACTAAGCGTGTACAAAATAACTTGGTGCAAGAAGGGGAATCTCTAGATGTTGGCTCTAGAACCCTTTTCAATCTACCCCTCTTCAGTCCTGGAAAAGTCACAGGCAAACAGATGGAGCTTTTCAGCAATCCAAAGAATTAATTTCTCATGCTACATCGAACTAGGTAGATGTGGTATTGCCATAGCAACTTGAGAAAGAACCCAACTGGAATCCTGGCAATCGTTTTTATTAAAAAAAAAAAACCAAAAACCAACCAAACAAAAAACTCACCCCAGAACAAAACAAAAAATCCAACCCCTTTTACTCATTTTTTTTGTTCTTCCTTACTATCCACGCCTAACTTGTGGTTAATGTTTTTATTTCATAGTGAGAGCTCTTTTGCTCTGAAGAGATTTTTGTAAAGACAAACACTTTGAAATGTATTTTGCATAATGCCTTGTACAACACTTTGAACATACAAAATGGAAGCTACTTAGTCCTGAGGCAGACCACAAGATCCATGTACAGGCCAGCTCCCATCTATTTTAACAGAGCAGAGTCTGGCCCCTGCAGTCACCATAAAATACACGCCAGAGTAGCTGCAAGTTGATGAAAGTATATCAAGTCCATTCAGGGTTGCTTGGGCTTCATAGCCAGCACTGCAGCCACTGGTTACATGGCCGTCCCCAAGTCTGGTCCTACAAGCATGCTCAGAGTCAACTCCAAAATCGGCCAGGGGGAAATTCAATGTCAAACCAAACCACCAGTGACAGGTCCCATCTCCAGTCCTGTATTGCTGTCTGAGAAGGCCCACAGAACTTGCACCAATGCTTTCCACATGTGCACCCCACAGTGACATTCAGTGATTAAATCTCATTAGGAATGCATTCTCTCCCATTTAAACATAATTTAAAAAGAAAGAATATCTTAAATTTACCTACATGGTAGTAGGCAGATTCACCAGCCAAGCGAGAAAGAGCAAGAAAGGGGACAGGCCTTTCCCTATCTAGGCTGGCGCTGTCAGGTGGTGGTGGCTGGCTTGTTGAGAGCACAGACCTAAACCAAAGCTTTAAAGGAAGGGGTTTGTAAAAGTCCCACAACCTCTGAATTACTTTTAGAAGGAAGGTGAACCTTATTCTGTATCTCCTTATATTTCACGGATCTCCTTGTAAGTTCTTGCTGTCCACAAAGCTGTTCCTTATCTTTTAGGTGCGTTGAAGAAGTGGGAGAAGAAGAGAAACCGTAATACTGGCGATACAAAAGTCTTCAGAGACTGGCTGCTTTTACATTGCCCTTCCGAAACGCGCGAGATCTATGAGCTGCCACCGGAAGACCTCAATAATTACCTGGCCTCGTTCTACTCTTCTGCAAAGAAACAGAATGGCACAGATTTTTCTGCCAGTTCTTTGCACTTCTTTCAGAGCAGCATAGAGAGGTACCTCAAGGATCACAACTACAAGTACAGCGTAGTTAAAGGGTTGGAATTCAGAGCATCTCAGGAAGCCTTGAAACTAAAGCATCAGCACCTGTCTCAAAAAGAGAGAGAAGGAGAGTGGAGTATTTTGGAGAATCTGACAGATGAAGATGTGGAAAGTCTTTGTAAGAAGGGACTTTTAAGTAAGATGCACCCTCAGGGCTTTTTGCACCTCATGTTCACAAATATCATTAGGGGGTTTGGGGCAAGTACACACAGTCAGAGCCATAATCTGTACTGGGGACAGCTTGTGCTCAAAAAGAACGAGGGAGAGCTGGAGTACTTGGAGTGGAAGGATGATCTGAACACAGAGGTAAATACAAGGGAATCGGGTCCACGTCTCTTTGCCAAGCCTGACAATCCAGATAACTGTCCAGTCGCAGATTATAAGGAGTATGCTAAGAGGAGGCCGCTGGATATGCTTCATGACTATGATCCACTTTATCTAACGCCCAAGCCTCTGTGCTCCATATGGGACCAAACATGGTACTGTAGAAAGTCACTGACAAAAGCCAAAATGGAAAAGATCTTGAAAGTTATTATCCAGCAAGTCAAAGGACCTGTAAAGAAGTCCAAGAAATAAAGGTATCCATTTAGTTTCTGCTGTGCCACTTTTTGGTAGGAGCACGTTTCAAAGTAGTCTTTGAAAGGTTTAAGTGGCAATATTTAGTATAGGTTGAGGAGAACATCCTTCTCTTCGGTTTCACCTTAGAACATAAGTAATCCACAAATTTGCATCACCTTAGTGTTCAGGTTAAGTGAAAAACTTCTATTGTTCTTTGTATTAATGGAATTGATAGTTCAGTAAGTTAAATAAATATGAGAATCTTAGGTTTCACATTTGTAAAACAAGTTAATATTCTACTGTATTATTAATGACATGATAAAATAGCCAATGTTAACACGGAGAGGGCTCGGTAGCTGAATAGCTTGGCTAGGAGTTTAAGCTGCACTCATGTTTAGGGGGGCTGACACGTACACAGTGTTTAGTCTATAGTATAAGCCTATTGAAAAAAGTAACACAAGTTAGTTCTGGGATGGAAGGAGAACGGTGAAATGCTGTGTTTGCCAACTGCTAATCCATATCTCATGGTAATACTTTCAACAAGGTTTATGTCATTTTTCTTAGTGAAAAATTTGTAGATTTAAGAAGTTGTGATTGGGTTTTAAAAAGTTATGTAAAATGGCTGACAGCGTTGAAAGGTTTTATGGTAAGTGTTTTCCCCAGAGTGCTAAATATAGCTACATAAATACACTTTGGTAGATGTAGTCAACTTTTTTCAGCTGTTCAAGTACTATTCAGTCAATATGTTATCTTATGGTCCAGTCAAATTATTGGGTTGCATTGTTGACATAACCTAATAAAAGAAGAATTACTCAATCCTGTTTGTCTGGTCTGTTTGTCTGTTCTGCAGAGATGAAGCCAGTAGCCCCAGACTAGCAGGTTACAGTTTTCTGAAACACCAGCATATTCACTTATCATGCTTGGGTTTCTCCTGCTCCGAGCCTGTTACTATTCAGCATTGCGGAGCTGACCCTGAGGAGGATTTGGGCCATTTGAAATCCTACAGAGCCCATGTTTGTGGTTTCTTAACAAGGTCTTTGTGGCCAAACCCTTTGCCAGAATTGGTCTTGTTCAAGCAACATTTAATATCACCAAATAACTTACAGAAGTTTAAAGTGCCATAAAAAAAGACAAACTCACTTAATCACGTGGTCAGAGGGTGTCTTCCAGCTTTACTCATGCTGTTGAGCGCAGATGGCATTAGGACAGCCACAGCCATCGCTGAAGGACCCGTCAGTGCCCAGGTCAAGCCCAGCCACACGTGCAGCTCTGTGCCCAACAGCTGAGAGCCAGAGCAAATCCTTTCCTACGGGGCTGGGCTTTACTCACCCTACCCAAGGGTGAGGACCAGATCAGGCTTTTCTCTCCTCTCTGCTGATCTATTTAGTCCACACCCCAAAGCTCATTAATGAAAGACTGCTGCCTTAAAAATCAGGTGGCACAATTAGCTGACAGCATTCACTTAATCCTGTCAGGAGCACATGGGCACCTCCCGGTTCTCCAGGCGGCTGCAAGAGAGAACAGAGTGAACAGGGGGGATAGGCAAACGGCTGCCCCCAATGCGCTGTGACGGGCAATAGAAAGCAAAACTCCCAGAAATAACGGATCATCCAGTGACACCAGGATCATCGCTGCCAGCCGGCGTACCCGCACACCTGCATCCTTCCACAGCCCCAGACATTGGGCTGGGATTAGAGACAGGCTCAGAGGCTTTGCCAAGTGAGCATGGTAAAAAAGAACAGAATTCAGGAGCGCTGTGTGTGCTGAAGGTGTGCGTGGAGCGGTCCTGCCCTGAAGAGCCTGAGGAGGGAGAGCAGCCCTCCCACTGCTAATAAACCCTGCGTTCCTGTCCTGGTTTCAGCTGGGATGTAGTTAGCTGTCTTCCTAGTAGCTGGTACAGTGCTATGTTTTGAGTTCAGTACGTGAAGAATGTTGATAACACTGATGTTTTCAGTTGTTGCTCAGTAGTGTTTAGACTACAGTCAAGGATTTTTCAGTTTCTCATGCCCAGCCAGGGCACCTGACCCAAACTGGCCAACAGTGTATTCCATACCATGTGACGTCCCATCTAGTTTAGGAACTGGGAAGTGGGGGGGGGCAGGGATTCGCCGCTTGGGGACTGGCTGGGTGTTGGTCGGCGGGTGGTGAGCAATTGCCCTGTGCATCATTTGTACATTTCAATCCTTTTATTACTACTGTTGTCATTTTATTAGTGTTATCATTATCATTATTAGTCTCTTCTTTTCTGTTCTATTAAATCGTTCTTATCTCAACCCAGGAGTTTTACTTCTTTTCCTGATTTTCTCCCCCATCCCACTGGATGGGGGGGGAGTGAGTGAGCGGCTGCGTGGTGCTTAGTTGCTGGCTGGGGTTAAACCACGACAGTTCCCCATGGCCACACACTGCTGGTCGGGGAAAGCAACTTGCCTCTTTACGCATAGGATATCCGTGGGTCCCATTTAGTTGTGTCCTACAGTGGTTTTAAGCTAAATTTCGAGCTAATTGCACTTCATACAAATGAGTAGCATCCTGGGCAATATGCTAAAGTAGACCTCATTGACAGTTTAACTGCCACTTACGAAAGAGAAAATCAGCCAGAGAACTGTTTCATTTCGTAAAAACAAGGACGTGGTATTATCAGAAATTCTGAGTAACTGTCCCACGGCGTGTCTTAGCAGCTCAAACTGTAAACTTCATTTCCAATAATTAGGAAATTACCCATAGCAGGCTGCTGCTAGGAGCAACGTCTGCGGCAAAAAAGGCTTTTCAAAGATCGGAGTTGGAGGACTTTGAGTACGCTTTTACTCTGAAAAAAGGCCACGAGGAAAACGGTATCCCAGCCTCCATTTCTGTTGCGTGTTAACAATGTCCAATTAAAACTTAGTTTACCAGCTAGAAGATGCCTTGTTAACCTCCTATGGAAACGACTGCATGAGTGATCTAAGAATTGAACGTTTATGACTGAAGTCAGGATGAAAATACTTGTAAAAGTTTCTTTTTTAATTAAATGCATTTGTGTATGTATTTGGTGGAAAAGGATTTCCAAGAACATCTTTTTCTGTGAGAAATGAGACCGAATGCTCTTGGCTGGCCGGTGGGATGCCCTTCAGCCCTCGGGGCCAGCAGAGCTGCCGGCCAGGCCAGCGTGCTCCTGCGCCTGGGCAGCCTGGGTGGCCAGAGAGACCCCCCGCACCAGGGGGGGACGGGGGCTATTGTGTTCCTGCTCCAGCCCTTGCTCTTCACCCGTCCCTGCGCTTCATTGTGGGGCTCAAGGGGAAGGGAGAAATGCTGGGGATCATCTGAGGGTTACACACATGATTTTCATCTTTGCATCACGAGAAAAAATGATTAATTAGGGTGGACACCAAGATACAACATGAAGTAATTTGCTCAAGGTCATGGACGAGATGAAGGGCAGAGACTCCAGGCCTGTCTCCTCCTTCCCAGCCCGCTCCCGGGCAGGGAGCCATGCTGCGGTGGCTGCGTGGCCCAGTGGTTCGGTGGAGAAGGGCCGTGGCTGTTGCCCAACTCCCACCCCGATGGGGAACCAGGACTCTTCCAGCTGCACTGCGGGAGCTGCTCAGCGATGGAGCGAGCCCCGTGCGGGGTTTGCACCCCAGTACCCGTCAGCGGAGCGGGACCAGCTACTCTGAGCTGGGCAAGAGAAGGGAATGCCCGGAGCCTTCCGCAAAACCAGTTTCTTTTCCTCTTTTTGCACGGAGGGTTTTGAAGCCTCCTCCACCCAGAGAGGAAGCAGCAGAAGGGAATCCGCTGTGCCTGGTGGTGATGCCGGGACCTCTGCTGTGGGCAGAGCTCAGGGGCACCGCCATGGGCAGGGCAGAGGGGCGACAGCTCCCCCTGCCCCCCAGAGCCAGCCTGTGCTCCCCAGAACCCAGCCTGTGACCCCCCCCAGCACCCAGCCTTCCCCGGCCGGGCGCCATCAGACCCAGCGCTGCCCGGCCCCACGCTCGCCCGTGGGCGCTGGGGGCTCGCGCTGCCTGCGCGCTCGCCGGGAACCCCCTAGCGACAGCGGGGGGGGCGGGCAGCGGGGGGGGGGGGGGGCTGCGGCGGGCGGG